TCTCTTTAGCTCTCCCTTCCTCCCATCTCTAAAATTAATCAATAAAAATATAAAGCTAAAAACTTTATTTTCAAGAGGGAGGGATAAAAGAGAGGAGAGAGAATAATTAACTTGTTGTTCCACTTATTTGTGCATTTATTGGTTGATTCTTGTATGTGCCCTGATTGGAAATCAAACCCTCAACCTTGGCATAACAGGACAACACTCTAACCAACTGAGAAACCTTGCCAGGCTACTCTGGATATTTTCAATATTGTTTTGAGACTCTGGATCTTGTTAAAATCCTAAAGACAATTTTTTTAAAGATTTTATTTATTTATTTTCAGAGAGAGGGGAAGGGAGGGGAGAAAGAGAGGGAGAGAAACATTGAAGTGTGAAAAAAACATCGGTATGCAAGAGAAACATCAATTGGTTGCCTCTCACATGCCTGCAACTGGAGACCTGGCCCACAATCCAGACATGTGTACTGACCAGGAATCAAACCAGCAACCTGTTGCTTTGTGAGACAATGCCCAACCCACTGGGCCATGCCAGTTAGGGCAAGAATGTTTTCTGTTTTAACAAGCAATTAACCAGTTTGGTTCAGGCAGCAACCTGCCTCCTTTTCACTGTGGTTCCACTCTCAGTTTAATTTTCAGTTTGTGGAGGTCTGTGGATCAGCCCTGCATGTGTGCCACTCAGTGGCCTGGCAGACTTGGACAGTGGTGCAGCCTGCCGCTCAGTTCACAAAGCTTTGGTTAAACCATTTAAGGTCAGATCCATGCTTGTGCAACTCGGAGGTGAGCCAGGAGTTGACACAACTCTCCAGGACTGTCCTTTTGATTCTCCTCCTGTGATCTGCCTGACGCTTTCTGGTTCTCTGGAGCTTCCTTTCCGAGGCCTCCGACCAAAACATTGGGGCTTTAGTTTCTCTAATCTGCTGGGCATTCCCCACTGTGTTTGGGCCAAGCCTCAAGAGAACAAAGAAAAAAACAGGGGATTTGCCTCACACCTGTGGGGCCACAACTTGTCTAGTCAGAATTTTCAGTGCCTGCCGAGCCACTCTTGCTGTCATTACTGTAACTGCCACCACCATTGCATGCTTGGGGCTAGAAGTGGGAGAAAGGGAGAAAACAGGGTTTCCCCACTCTGACCCTTAGGAGTCCCTTCCTGCTCCTCAGACCCACAACAGAGGGCTGTAAGGGAGCTCTCTGAGTTCACAGCTGATGGCCATTTCCAGGTTTTGGCTGCCTTGAGTCCATTCTGGGCGATACCAGAGGAGGAAAAATGGTGAACTCACTACTGGTTTAGTGGAACTTTAAGTTCTGGTTTCTTTCCCCCTATCATTTACTTCTCTACGATCTCAGTTGCTCCATATGTTCTGTCCAGGACCATGGGGGAGACAGGGTGGGGTGTGCCTTCTCCATTTATAACTTACGTGTTCCTGGGCAAATTATTGTACGTATACTGTGCACCTCTTTTTTTAGCAGGATAATTGTGTCAATTTCAAAAGATTGTGTAAATTAAATGACTTTGTATACATAAAGCACTTAGAATAGTGCGAGTAAGCACTATTATAGCAAGCACTTATAGGTGACAGCTTTTATTAAATAGCAATTACCACAGATTAGAAAATAGAGATAAGCAAAAACACAAAAATCATCCACAACCACATGCCCTGAAGTATAACATTACGGTCTGTATTATCTCAGATTTTCAGTCGAGACATATTTATCCGTTGATTAAATGGATAAATGAGTAAGGTAACATATTGTACTGTATTTCCTGCCCCATCTTCCAAAGTATGCATTTCATATTAGGGGAGAAGCAGTAGGTCACAGGATGAAAACTTTCTGCCTCCAGCCGTGCATCCCCACTATTCCTCCCACCCCAACTGCTGATCCTCTTTCCCTTTTATCAGGTAACTGTAATTTGCCCTTCTCGTTTCAGTTTAAAGGTGAGTCCTTGGAGGCTTTCCTGATCCCAGGCAAGATGTACAGATGCGTTTCATGCTCTCACGTTACCCTCTACTTCTTAGCACTTACCACACTTAATTATATAACCACACACAGAAGAACCTCAAAGGACAGGGCAAGTCCTCTCTCATCCTGACTCCAAGTCTGGCCTTTGCTCACCCTTCTCTCCCAGATGGTGATCCTGGGCCTCCTTACCTGTCTTCCAAGGCCCTGCAGTAGAAGGCTTTTCAGCACTAATCTAGGCAAGTCTGCTTTATAAATGGGACTGCACCACTCAGAGCTGAGCCGATGAGGGCAACGAAGGCACATTTCCACTCCACATTCTGGAAATTCTAATTCAGAAGGAACGGGTGAGAGTGAGGCTCAGGAATACGCATTTTCAAAAGCTCCCTTATGATCTAATGCTGGTGGCCCACTACCTGTGGTAGGAAATTTCTGATATGGCTCCCGATGATCCTTGCCTTCTGATGGTCACTAGGCTGGACCTAGTGACTGGTAAGTGATAGGATGTCTCTTCTGCGGTTAGGTTACATAAGACTGAGGTTGTTAGTTCATTTTGATGTGGTCTCTTGCTCTGATGAAGAGGGCTACCTGGTCGACCTCTAACCAAATAAGCTGGAAATGAGGTCCTCAGTCCACGAGGTAGTGAATTCTGCTGAGAGTCACTGAGTGTGCTTGGAAACAAGTCCTTCCCTCTGGAACCTTGAAATGCTATGGCCCTAACACTGATTGTAGCCTTGGGAGAGATCCTAAAAAAGGAAACTCAGCTCAGTTGTGCCCAGTCCCAAAACACAGAAACTGAATTAATAAATGCATATGGTTTTAAGTCACTAAGTTTTAAGATCATTTGTACACAGCAACTGATAACTAATGTACTGCCTACACTTGCCTAGGTGGAGGATTTTCCCTCTTTAGCAGGATTTTATGAAATACTGACTACATTGTCCCTGTTCCTGTGCATAAAGTCCAAACGCAGACTTTTAGCTTCAGAGACTTTGGCTTATCTTTTAAGTGACATCTGTTTCATGTGCATGAATTCTGAATTCTCATGGAAGGAAATTATCTTCCTCCTCCTCTTACCATAGTGATCCAGCCCTCTGGCCATTTAAGTTTGCTATATGGAAGGGGTCCCATGAGAGTGTGGGACCCCTTCAAGCAGTGGCAAGATTCCTGGTTGGGAAGATTTTCCTGGTACCCTGGGCTTAGTTATACATGGAATCCCTAAATCCTGAACCAAATTTCATGCTCAAAAACTGAGCCTACAAATACTCTGCTCCCTCTTCTCCATGTCTGGGTCAAGAGTCTGTCTCCGGAAGTTGCCCTGGCTGGTGTAGCTCAGTGGATTGAGCGCGAGCCAGCAACCCAAAGGATCCCGGCTTGATTCCCAGTCAGGGCACATGCCTGGGTTGCAGGCCAGTTCCCAGCAGGGGACACAAGAGAGGCAACTATACATTGATTTGATATTTCTCTCTCCTTCTCTTCCCCTCTGAAGATAAATAAAATCTTTAAAAAAAAAAAAAAAGAGTCCATTTCTGCAAGTCAAAAAGAAATTGCGTTTGCACATCCTTGGAGCTGTCAGTGGTCCTCCTCCATCTTTGGGCATTAGGCCGAGCAGTACCAGCCCAGCCTGGACTAGACTTTAGAGCCATCCAGTGAAGGATGGAACTAGAGAGGTCAGGAAGTTATGGAGCCATTAGCTGGAACCAGCTTGCAGGAAAACAAGATACTAAGTTCAAGGGAACAACTGGCATGGGCAGAGGGAGGGGAGACAGGTTTAAAGCACAATGAATGAGCAATTCCTCCACATGAGGGTAGGGGTCCTCAACCTCCCTCCTCCCCATCCATGGACGCTGCTCTAATTACTGCCTGAACTTCACCTTCTGCCCAGCCCCCTTACCCCCGCCCAGTCTATGGAAGAATTGTCTTTCACGAAACTACTCCATGGTGCCAAAAAGGCTGGGGACTGCTGCATCAGAGTGTTGGAGGAAGAAAGGGTTTATTTCAGAGGTAGAGACTGAGAATCAAGATACAAGCTCAACTTGCTTATCTAGGGAAAAGCTAAAATGAGAAACCATGAGTGGCAGCTCCTGAAATAGGCCTCATTGGACTGGTTCCATTGTCTCAAGACAATAAGCTTACCCAGCCACTTTAATCAGACTCAGAATCCCGCCCCCACTCTCTAGTTCTATGACTGACACCTGGGGACCAGAAAAGAGTGGTCTGTCCAAAACCTCCTCCAGTAGAGAACAGCACAAGTTCTGGAGAGCAGCCAAGTCAACACTGGGACCCAAGAGGCAACTGCCTCACATGCAAATGTGTGTGTGGGGTACCAACTGTCCCTTACACTACAACTTCCCAATTCTAGGGAGTACACAGCCGTTCACTAGGCCAAGGCCAATCCTCTCAGCACAGTGCTAGGGAAGCTCTACCTCGGAAGGAGGGCAAGAGCCTAACTGCTGCTTCTTACTGTGATATGAGAGTTCTGTGTGATCCCGGCATAAAAACTGGAGTTGCCTGTCAATTCTTCCCCTTATAATTCTATAAGGTGGAGGCAAGCAGACTGAACACGGCTGCTGGGGAGCAGGGGCAGTGATCACCACTTTGCATCTTCCTGTCACACGTCGGTGCTCACGAAGTACCTGCTACTTCTGAATAAATGGTGAGATACTGAGCAATCGCAATCTGTTCAAAGTCATGTAGCCCAAGACTCAGCAGCTAGTATCTGGTTCTCTTCATTTTCCAGCACTTTATTTTAGAGTGGACTGGAATGAACCTTCTTCCCGTCCACAAACATCAAGGACAAACAAGCCCTGGCCTGGTGGCTCAGTGGGTTGGCGTGTCACCCCGTACACCAAAGGCTGAGTGTTTGATCCTGTTGGGGCACATATGGGAGGCAACTGATCAGTCTCTCTCTTTCACATCAATAAAAATATCCTCAGGTGAGAATAAAAAAAAAAATATATATATATATATATATATATATATATATATATATATATATATATATATATATAAAGAAAAAGACAGAAGATACCCAGCTCAGGGCATGTTTGTATACAGATTTCTCATAGATTTATTTCTGTATTATGTTATATATAGATATATGCATATATGCTCTTCTTTTAATACAATCTATATCCCCTTCCCTTCCCCACAAAACGCACAAAAGGAAGTACAAATCCTTCCAGGATTGCCATCAGGCTTTCCAAGAGAGCCAGAGCCAAGAAAGAACCATCTCTTGACATCTCAAGAAACAGCTGCCCTTCTTAGGCTCTGTGGTCACTGAGGCAGCAGCATTCCCAGGACCCAAGGGGAGGTGAGAGGGAAGGACAGGACTGTAGTGTGACCGAATTCTAGGATGAAAGTGTCCAGTGACTCCTAGAATGGCAGACAGGCTCCAAGGACTCTCAGGGTGGGAACAAAGGCGGAAGCCCTGTGGCTCTGCAGATGCCGCCCAAACGGGCTGAGGGCAGGGAGCAGGAACTGGGGAGTGGTCATGCAGGGATGGAGGGTAAGGTAAGGACCACTTGGGTTCTACGGGAGACACAGCAGCCTCACCTACCCAATGACAAAGAAGAAACAAGGACAGATGCTGGCTCTTAAAAATACAGGAGGGAGAGCACAGTAGGATGGGTGAGGGGGACAACGGGACACATAAGAAAGTCACAGAAAACAAAAAGTACCAACAAAAACATGACTGACACTTGCCTCCCCCCTAAAGAAGGTGTGTGTGACCTATGCTTGGGGGTAGGGGAGAGAAGAGAGGTGAAAGGTATGAACCTAAGATTATCAGCTGGCCAGGGGCACAGGAAGGCTCTTTGAGGACTCCTAAGGGCCAGGCAGGCAGCTAGGACCCCCTATCTCCAGGGGAAAAAATGACAGTCCCTTTAGTTCGACTTGGACCAAATCTTGGCGCTCCCTCGGAGCCTGGCAAGGGGGAGAGAGAGAGAGAAGCTGCAAGGAATCCCCTAACCCCCCGAAGGCTCCCCCCATTCCCTGCCCCCTGCAAATGACTAAAGGGAATGAGGGCAGCCAGGTCTCCCGAAGAAAAGCAGGCACCCCAGAAGCAAGCAATTCCTGCCACATCGGCTCACCCCTTGCCCTTTGAGGCTTTCTTGCTGGGCTGGCGCTGGTTGGTGCCAGCAGCTGGTTCCCGCAGTTCAGTCAGGTGTTGCTCAGGGTCCTGAGTTGTGGCTGCAGCTGCTGCTGCTGTGGTAACTTTAATGGTTTTTTTAAGGTTGGCGACCTATCAGGATGAAAGGAGTTGGAAAATAACAAAGCAGGTTCCTGTCCGCCTTGTCTGTCTGCTACAGCCGCTGTCCAAACCCCTCTGCACTGGAAAACTGGCCCAGGCTGGAGGAACTTGGGTCTGTCTTGCTCCCCTGCCAGCTCACCTCACTCTCAATCTGCTGCTTCAGACCCAGCTGCTGCTCCTTGTGCTGGTTGGCACGGCTCACCTGCTCCTCGATGCCTGACAGCACTACCTCACAGCCCACACACCTGCAGGAATTGGGAGAGAAGTGTCAGCAGAAGAGAGCTGTGACCCAACTCACTAAAAACAGACTCAGAAAGAACCCTAGATCCTCATACGCAAACCCTCGTCTGACGAGTTAGGAACCTTCACCAGGGCATCTGCAAAACCACCTGCAACAATATTCCCAGGAGCTGGAAGGGCACTCGATAAGAGAAGAGAGGTGTAAGGCAGTGACAGGAGCGATGTGAAAGATGGAAGTAGGAACTAAAGCTAGAATGGGATAGGGGGTGCTAAAGTGGGGAAAAAAGACATGTATTAATTAACTAAAGTTAAACAAGGACGCAAAGAGAAAAGCAGAAGTGGAAGAGGCCCAGGGCCTGTGGACAGTGCTGGTTACAGACCAAGGGGTTGAATCCAGCCTAAGACAGGTAACAGGATCCTCTCAAGGGTACCCCTTGCCATTCCCTTCCCCCAATTACTATAGCAAGGACACCGTCTCCTCTCTTGCCTCCTAAGCCCCTCCACTCCTGTCTTCCCTCAGAAGCCTTTGGAGGAACGAGCTCAACTCCCTTCATTCTCTTTAATTTCACTTCTGTAGCCCATTCCTCACCCCTCCAAAGCATCTCTCCCTTTCTTGGGGTGAGAAGAGAAGGGACAGTGCCAGGACACAGGTCTTACCACTCCTGTAGGGTTCGGGCGATGGCACTGAGGTCCTGGCGCTGGATGTCCCGCCCAATGCTGTAGTCAACCTCCAACCGCTGATTGCGCTGGTCCAGAGAGCCACGAAGCACGTCAGCATACACGGCCTCAATGACGAGGTCTTCCAGCTGCCGCACATTTCGCAGGGCAAGGGCCTCCAGCAACACTGCATATGGGATACACTGGGGCCCGGGAAGCAGGGCTGGGATTTGTGAGCTTCTGCCATAGAGAAGGGCTTCCAAGGTTCTTCTTCCCTCCTCCTCCCCACCTAGACTCGTCTGCCTCCCCTCCACTCCTATTCCTAAATCATTTCCTCTAAAAGGTTGGTTCTAAAGTGAAATAAATACAAGTATTGCCGCCTAAAAAATAACAGCATGAGAATGACAATCTTAAATAAAATGTAAGACCTATGCTCTCCTACCCCCCTTAGATCCAACATCGCAGAGGAAGAAAGTGGCATCTGCCTCTGGCCACAGCTCAGAGAAGCACACAGACCTTGGCGAAGACCAGCCTGGCATCATGGGAGTACGTGGTATGGGAGAGATCTGGAGCTACTCTGTTTACCTTTTAAAGAGGTTTGTCAGAACAGACAGCCTGATTCAAACTAGAATGAATGATGGGAGTAACGGCTGGGAGAGTGCAAATGACAGGAGGGGGGATGTTTAAGAAAAAACAAACCTAATGGGCAATGCAGAAATACTTCTGGGTTATATATTTCTTATTCTGGCAAATAGAAGCCTAGCACTTCACTGGAAGAATGAGCCTTGTTCGCAGCGAGAGGCTGTTTGCAGTGGGACCTTCTACAGCGAGGATGAGGGTGACCCTTGTACAACACAGTGAATGCCACAGTGTTGCTATTTTTGACCCCAAACATAAAACATGTTTCATTTAGAACTTAAGTTGATTGGAAAATAAAAGCAAAACAGAAAACTAAAAGGCTACAGGTAATGGAGTTCAGATGCAGATCTCAGAGGGATGTTGGGAGCAAGGCGGAAAACAACAACAGTGTTTCAAAGGCTGTCCCGGTACAAATTCCCTTCAGATGGGCCCTTATGAAAGGACAAACAAAAGGATGCTCTTTGGTTTAGGTCCAGGGGGACTGTCACTCACTTTGACTTTGGCAGCTAGGGTAACGACAGAGAGGTGCCGAAGCTTATTCTTCTGAGCCTCTGTGAGTGGGGGAAGATTCCGGGCTTCAGCTGGAAAAAAGGACAAAAGTGTAGGAAATCCCAACTTCCCTTTCGTGGAAAGGCCTAGCCTCTTTCCCTTTCAATTTTTTTGTTTTTTAAGTTTTCCAGGCTAATTCAGGTCTTGTCTCTGACCCTGTATACCTAAAGGATCTAAGTAGGATAGCCCAGGAATTTCCTTGGTGTCCCTCCTGAAATCACGCTTCTCCCACCTCCACTACTCCGGAACTCCAGCCCCTCATATGCATACCTAAGTAGTCAGCATACGTTCCATAAGCAAACACCGTGAGCAGGCGGAACGTGGAAGCAAAGTCACTCTCAGCCAGCTGCAGGAATATGAGGGAAGAGATGACAGGAAGGACCTCTATCCACCCTCCTCCCAGCCTTACCCTGTTTGCAACTCTGCGTTCTGGCCCCACCTTTCCCCTCCATTAGCACTCACAGCTCACTAGAGAAGGAACTCTACCTCCCTGATTGCTCTCCCCACAGGAAGCCCCCATTTCCATGCCTCCCCCCATCACAATGCCCTCTTCCTCCATAAGCCTCCAATCCCTACCCTAAATTCAGGGCTGAAACCTTCAGAGTGTTCAGTATCTAACACACACACACACACACACACACACACACACACACACACGCTAGACATTGCAAATGTGTTTTTTATTTGTAAATTGGAGTGTATTTAATATTCGTAAATTTGATTATTTAGGCAGTCTGCTATATTCCCCAATTAACCACACCCCTGGCTCAGTCTCACTCATCTCAGACAGCTACACGGCCTAGGCAGCCCCTTGGAATTTGTGGCCTCTGCTTCAGATCTGCATCACCCAGGGGACTTTCATCACACAGGCCAGTGCCCCTGCCCCACCCCAGATCCTCCTCTCCTCCTATCACTGATCACTGTTTCTGGCACTTCCTCAATCAAATCCTGCTTAAGATTGTTACCTAGGAATTTTCGTTCAATAAGATTACAGACTCAGTCTCTGGTATCCCTCTTAGGTCAAGTACAGCTGAGCGTGTCGGTGGCTCTCTCAATAAATGCTTGCTAAATAAATTATCTGTACGTATATAGCCATTATCTGATGTCTGTAACTGAAATGTAAGCTTCGGAAGGGTAAGTACTGTTGTTTTTCACTTTTCTGGCATTCCCAGACAACTAGCGGAGTGCCAAATAGGCACCCAATAAATACTTCTTTTTCTCCACCTTGACTGACTCTCTTTGGTTCCACTGCAGAGGAAAGCAGGGAAAGAAGTCAGCCAGTTTTCTCCACACCTCAGAGTAATCCCAAAAGGCTAAATCCACTGACCCAATCACTGGCCCTCAATAACTTAACTCACAGCTTGGCCACATACCACTATCACAGTTCTCAGGATGTGGACTGGTGTCACACATCTCTGCAACCTATCCAGTCTGGGCTGTAAATTCTTAACTCTACCATTTGTGTGGGAATGATTTTCTCTGCTGTGCTCCTAGCACATTCTACATGATCTAACTGAAGTCAATTAGCATACAGTGCAAAGGGGGGAAAAGAGGGCACGCCAATTTCACGTTCATTCCTTCCATTTGTACCAGACTTTACACTTCCCCATAATCTCACCTGATTTCCATAGTAATGGTGAGGAGCAAAATCAGCTCCATTTTCATAAAAGAAAACTGAGAACCTAAAGTAAAATTGACCTGATCAAGGTGACATGATTATTAAGAACTATTATTACACTGATGGAGAAGGGCTGGAATCAGGTCTCCTATTCTAAGTCACATTGTTCTTTTGTCTAGAAATGAAAAATACTGCGTTTTACAGATCATTCATCCTCTAAACAAAACTAAAAGGTTTATTTATATACTTACTCTTGCCAGATGCCAGTTAATCATCATCCTATTCTTGTTCAACTGAATGGTTATGGGTTGCAAAATGAGCCCTGCCCACCCATTCTCCAATTCAAACGTTAGCCCCAAGCTTCCCCGTGGGCTATCTAGGCCAGGAACCCACCTCTCTAACATTAGGCATATCCAGCAGTTCCCCAAACACGTAGACACCAGGGGCCTCCAGCACCTGGTGGATGAGTGTGGCCAGCGCTGCCCCCCTGGCCGACTTGGCCAGGAGCAGAAATTGCTCTTGGTTCTGCCCTGTCACCTTCACCTCGGCACTCATGGCTGCAATGAGCTGAGGGAACCTGGGCTCAGGATGCCTGGAGCTGCAAGGAAAGAGGGTGTGAAGCTGGAGATCCCTGGACACTGGGAGGATGAGAAGCGCAAGAGCTAAGGCTGACTGCAGAGGCACAGTGACTTTTGCAATGGGGAACCAGCGACGAAGCGGTCTAAAACTCGAATCTAGTTATCCAAAAGATGCCTCGCTGATACTTTGGTTGCCACGCCCAGTTCCCCTCTTCCCTGGGCCTAATCCCAAATCCCACCACGTGCAACCCAATGAACCCCAAGGCACAGGATGCAGTTGGGGGAGGGGTGTCACATGGTGTCTACCCTAACGACAACGCTCCTTCAAATCTCCACTGGTGCACGGTAAGTGCCCCCAACCATGTGACCTCACCCTCACAATCCTTCCCCGTGGCTCCGCCCCCTCCCTTAAAGAGACCGCCCAGAGACCGCGGGCTCCCGCAGACTGTTGCGTCGTACCCTGGATTAGACTCTGTGGGCCGCTACCTGCAAGATCCGTCTTCCAGAGACCCAGGAGGGGCTGTCGCTCCGTCTTCTCGGGCAGCAGTTTCTAGCTTTTCCTGCCACCTCCCCCTCAGGGCCACTCAGGCCACTAAACTCTATGGTTGGCTTCCGGCTGTATTTCCGCTCTTACTAGAGGGACGTGTCCCTGCTCCCGCCTTCCAATCCCTGAAGCTCCTGTGAGCGATTTAAGCATTCTACTCTCTGATTGGCTGCTTCGAAAAGACTGACGGGCACTTTTTTTTCCCCCTGCTTTGTTTCAATAAAGCTTTATTGTTACCCAGCGCTAGACTCTAAATGCAGAGGGAGCCTCTGGTCTCAGGCAGATACCAGGTGGCTGTGTTGAAAATGTCAGGATGAATGCATGAACACGAGCAACAAGTCCAGTTAGGAGGTTACTCTACCCAGGCAAGAAATGGTTGTGGCTTAAGACAAAAGTGATCATTTTGGAGGTGAGAAATAGTTGTGCTCTATATTTAATTTAGAGCTAAAGTGACTAAACATCCTTGGATGGTGTGGCTCTGTGGATTGAGTTCCAGCCTGCGAACTGAAAGGTCGCTGGTTTGATTCCCAGTCAGGGCACATGCCTGGGTTGCACATAAGAGGCAACTGATCAATATTTCTCTCTCTCTCTTCCCCTCTCAATAAAAAATAAATAAAATCTTTTAAAAAACAGTGGACAGAATTTTGCAAATGATTAGATGTGAGGTGTGAAAGGAAGAGAAAGCATTAAGAATGACATCACACAGGCAAGCTGCAACAAACTTTCAGATAATTTTAATCTTATATGAACTTTTCCAGAAAATAGGAAAAGAAAGGACACCCTCAACTCATTCCATGGGGCCAAAAGTACTTTGATAACCCAACCAGACAAGGGCAGTATTTTCTTAATTAATTAATTTATTTATTTTTAGAGGGGAAGGAGACAGGGAGAAAAATATCAAGATATGGTTGCCTCTCTGTGTCCCCTGCTGAGAACTGGCCTGCAACCCTGACTGGGAATTGAGCCACAATCCTCTGGTTCGCAGGCCCGCGCTCAATCCACTGAGCCACACCAGCCAGGGCAGAAAAGGGCAATATTAAAAGGAAAATTACAGGCCAGTCTCACTTATTAACAAAGATTTTCAATAAAACATTAGCAAACTGAAGCCAACAATGTGCAAAAAATATGAAAATCCAAGGCTAACTTGAATTTATGCTGAAAGTTTAAGGGGAGATTGATATTAGAAAATATATCACTTTATTCATCATATTAATAGATTAAAGGAATGAATCATACAATCAAATCAATAAATATAGGAAAAGCATATGCTGAAATCAACATCCATTTGTGATTTAAAAACAGAGGGGAGAGAGGAGGGAATTTAAGGGGAAAAAATGGGAGGGATTTAGAGGAACAAGTATAAAGGACACGGACAATAACTAAGGGAGGTGGAAATGGGAGGGAGGTGGGGTGTGTGGGGGAGGGGTGAGCTGGGCTGGGAGAAATAAACAGAAAACTGTACTTGAAAAATAACTAAATAAAAATTTAAAAAATAGATGCTGCTGTAATAAAAAGCAGAGATCTGGTAACCTTAAAAAAATCTTTTAGAAAACTAAGAGGGAACTTGTTAATCTGATAAAGGAATGCCTGGCATCACCAATTCTATTCAGTCTTGTAATGGGGATACAAGTCACAGCAGTCAGACAAGGCGGGGAAGTTAAAGAATTACATAAAAAGGGAAACAAAGGTGTCACCATCCACAAAAAGTGTGAGAATGTGATAGCAAATGTAGAACAGCAAAAAGAATCTACAAATAATTAGAGTGACTTTAACAAGGATGCTTGATAAAAGTATACAAAATCAATTATATATCTATATATGAACAACAAATAATTAGATGATGAATATTTTTTAAAGTTACTTATTGCAGCCTTGGCATTGCACCTATATGCCCCTAATTAAGGTGACATAGGTTCAGTTTGTTAGAGCATTGTCTCAATATGCCAAGGTTGCAGTTTCTTTCTTTATTTTTAAAAAATATTTTATTTGCTTATTTTTAGAGAAAAGGGATAAGAGGGAGAGAAACATCCATGGGTTGCCTCTCACATGCCCTCAAACTGGCCTGCAACTCAGGCATGTGTCCTGACTGGGAATTGAACTGGCGACCTTTCAATCCACAGGCTGGCACTCAACCCACTGGGCCACACCAGCCAGGGTCAAAGTTGCAGTTTTGACTCCCTGGTCAGGGCACAAACAAGTACAAGAATCAACCAATGAATGCATAAATACATGAAACAGCAAATCACTGTCTCTCAAATCAATAAATTTAAAAAAATTAAGTTACTACTTGCAGTAGTATGAAAAATATCAAATACTAAAGAATAAATTTAAGAAAATATGTGTAAGACCTATATGTGCTGAATTATAATTTACTGTGAGACACTGGAGACCTAACATAAAAGGAGAATTATAACCATGTTCACAGATTTAAAAAATTTTTAAAGATTTCATTTATTTATTTTTAGACAGAGGGGAAGGAAGAGAGAAAGAGAGAGAGAGGAACATCAATGTGTGGTTGCCTCTCACATGCCTTCCACCTGGGACCTTTCAGTGTATGAGATGATACCTGACCCACTGAGCCACACCAGTCTGAGCAGTATTCCATGGTTTATGTTTATGTCTTATTGCACGTATCTTTATGTGTTGTATTTCACAGTAAAAATGCATTTAAAAAAGCATCTACTTCAATACCCATACACGACAAAACTCTTAGCAAACTAGGAATGAAAGGGGTCTTCCTTAACTTGATAAAAGTTATTTTAAAAAACTACAGCAAATACCACTCTTATTGGGAAAACGGTGGAAGTGTTTCCTTTTTTTTTTTTTTTTTTTTTTTTTTTTTTTTTTTTTTTTTTTTTTTTTTCCCCCTTGAGACATTTCTATGGTTCTGCTCCTGATCTAGCTATCCTCTTAGTTTGCTTTTGTTTTAGGTGTGGTTCTTATTAACTGTGAGTTTGCTGTCCTTTCACTGTTCATCTTTTTTATCTTCTTTTTCTTAGGTAAGTCCCTTTAACATTTCATATAGTAAGGGCTTGGTGATGATGAACTCCTTGAATTTGGTCTTATCTGAGAAGCACTTTATCTGTCCTTCCATTCTAAATGAAAGTTTTGCTGGGTAGAGCAATCTTGGTTGTAGGTCTTTGGATTTCATGACTTGGAATACCTCTGTCCAGCCCCTTCTTGCCTGTAAGGTCTCTTTTGAGAAATCAGCTGACAGTCTGATGGGAACTCCTTTGTAGGTGACTGTCCCCTTAGCTCTTGCTGCTTCTAGGATTCTCTCCTTCATTTTAATCTTGGCTAATGTAATTATGATGTGCCTTGGTGTGTTCCTTCTTGGGTCCAACTTCTTTGGGACTCTCTGAGCTTCCTGGATTTCTCGGAAGTCTATTTCCTTTGCCATCTTGGGGAAATTCTCCTTTATTATTTGTTCAAATAATTTTTCAACTGGTGGTTGTGCCTTTCCCCCCTTCTGGTACCCCTATAATTCGGATGTTGGAACGTTTAAAGATGTCCTGGAGGTTCCTAATCTTCTCCTCATTTTTCTGAATTCTTATTTCTTCATTCCTTTCTGTTTTATCATTTTTTTCTTCCGTCTGGTTCTCTCCCTTGATTTGAGTCCCAATTTTCTTTCCATTATTATTGGAATCTTTTGTATCCCCATTCATTTCAATTAATTTAGCTTCCATATGTTTCTCTAATTTGTGGCTAAAGTCAACCAGTTCTGTAAGGATCTTTATAACCAGTGATTTGAACTGTGCATCTGAAAGACTGGCTATTTCTTCATCACTTAGGTCTATCGGTTCTGGGGCTCTGAGTTGTTCTAGAGCCATTTTTGGTCTGTTCGCGCTGTTAAGTGAGCGGAGCGAAGCCTTAGTTGTTTACCAGGACGGGGCGACCCAGGTCGCTGGTTTGTGACGCTGTGTGTGGGGGCGGGGTCAGAGAAGGAGCAATGGCGTTCCTCTCCGCTAGCCCAGAGCATCCAGTCACACACACAAACGCCTCGGGCTTGCTTATCCGATCCTAATTTTGCGAGCCTGCTGCGCCGCGCTCGGGTTTCCCTTCTCACTGGTTTCTCCGCACGTAACTGCGCGCGACCGACCGACCCACCGCGCCTCTTCCCTATGCGCTCCGCAGCCAGCTCGCTGGCGATCAGCCCTCGGTTGCCGCCTGCGCGCGCCGCGCACCGCCGCCCCGGGAATTTTTTCTTGCTAACCTGCTCCGCTTCTGGTCTCGCTCCTTGTACCGTTCCAGCCGAGTATCTAGTTGTCCTTTGGACTCCGTATTGTTGATTTTCCGTATAGCTTGGTTGTGACTGCTGTTAAAAATAGTTGTCTTAGAAGTGTTTCCTTTAAAGCCAGAACCAAAAGAAAGATGCCAGCTATCACTGCTTGTATTCACATTGTACTAAAGGTGCTAGCCAGCACAAGAAAAATAAATTAAAGCCATGATATTGGAAAGGAAAAAGCAAACTGCCAGCATTTGCAGATAATATGACTGTAATTCAAAAAGTCTAACAGAGCAGGGATATCCAACCTTTGGCATCTCTGAGCCACACTGGAAGAAGAAGAGTTGTCTTGGGCCACGTATTAAATATATCGTGACATGTAATCACCAAAATAATCTCATAATGCTTTATTTTTTTCCTAGGTTTAAAATTTTTTTAATATATTTTATTGATTATGCCATTACAGTGGTTCTATTTCCCCCCTTCATTCCCCTCCAACCTGCACACCCCGTCCCTCACCGTTCCCCCCCTTTAGTTTATCACCATGTGTCTCAAGTTCTTTAGATTCTATATTTCCCATACTATTCTTGCCCTCCCCCTGTCTATTTTCTACCTACCGTCTATGCTACTTATTCTCTGTACCCTTTCCCCCTCTCTCCTCCTCCCACTCCCCTGTTGCTAACCCTCCATGTGATCTTCATTTCTATGTTTCTGCTCCTGATGTAGCTGTCCTCTTAGTTTGCTTTTGCTTTAGGTGTGGTTCTTAATAACTATGAGTTTGCTGTCCTTTCACTGTTCATCTTTTTTATCTTCTTTTTCTTAGGTAAGTCCCTTTAAC